ATGCTATATTCTGCATTTGACTAAACTCTCCGTAACTCCTTTCCAACCTAATCCTATGTCAGCTAACATTTCTCGATAAGGAAATCGGTGGCCGGGGCATGCGTAACACTTATCCTAGCCAATTCAGTCAATCTGGCTTCACAACCTCATCGATTGGCTTCCTTTCCTTACCTCACACTCTACGCCTAACCTTAATATTATACACCAGAATGCACCACTTAATATGGGAGATAGAGCGCTTAAGCTTGAGGCTGCATATTCCACTGAGGAACCCAAAGGAATCATAATAAGTGAAAAGAAGTACAGAAAAAGCGACTTAGTCTTGTTATTCAAGTATTGGTTTGTAGGGATTTGATCGATTGGTTACAGGATTTCATCATGAGGTGACATCGGTTAGAGAACCATTGGAAAACCTGCTGGGAGTACTGGACAGCTGCTCACTAGCGACTGACCCTATTCAGGCAGGTAGTTACCTGGGATTCTAGTGGGAAGTCGTGACCAGTAGGGTACGGTAGGTCGGGCGTGAGGATAAATACTCGGCGAAGACATTGGCCAGTGGTCGTGCTATGTCGTGAATTGTCAGAAGTTGGAATTCATGCACTGGCTGACCTATTTGTAATCTTGTCATTCGAAATAATTTGCCTCCAGACTGGTAATACTTCTGAAAATTTTTTCACACCTTTATTATAGATACATACGAATATACAGCCTATTTGATTACTTCGTTGAAAAGAAAATTTTCTTCACAGTAAGTGTCTTTTTAATTTCCCTAAAATCTGTATTTCTTGTTTTTGTAATAATACATGTTTGACTTGCTTACTGGCTTCGTTTTCTTCTTCATGAGCTCCATTGTATCATGTCGCTTGATTGGTTGGTCTATGTGTGTGTTCCTTCCTGTTTTATAGGTGAGGCTGTTCCCCAAGTTCCATCGAGTCATCCTTAAGATACTGCTAAACCTTCTAACTTAATATAAATTTCAAAAGACCGATTACTACTGAAGAAAGAATATTCTTCTCCATAACCTGCTCTTTATCAGGTTCTACAGTTATATCCATCTATAATATCACACAGCTTTATTTAACCACACTGGTAGGTGTTGTCCAGCATGAAAAACTAAGTTCCTATAACAACAGCCAATGTAACTAACTGGCTCTACAGGTAGGTGGCTAGCCTAGGTTCATCTTTCAGTTTTGGAATCACAACTGATCGTGTAGAAAATACAAGCCCTAGCTTACCATCATTAAATATTCTTTGAATTGATTTTCTCAACTTGTTCTTTATTATTTCGCTTGGTAAACCACCGTTGAATTGTGCCCGGAAACATCTGTAAATGTGGCGCTAAATAAAGCTGTGTTGGAAAAACCACCAAAAATCTGATACTAGACCACTTGGTTCAAACAGGCTATAAATCTAGTGAGATTGAAGAGTTTTTCCTAACATCTATCGAGGACAAAATAGATTGACAAAAGCCTCTAGGTACAGAAAACTTCAAACAGTACAGGCTGTTGCAATTCGCTTAAAACAACCGAAGTTCTGTGTGCAAAAGAAACACCTCCAGCGACTATTGCTACTCTGGCCTGTCATGGAACCTACCAATCTGTGAATTCTCCATTACCATCCCGAGGACCCTAACCAGTCAGGAAGTCTACACTTTCCTACGTGGCTGGCTTGTACTAACTGTTGAGGATCTCATAGACTGGTGAAGCCATGTTTTCGCTTGATCTGATCCTATGTCAGCTAACATTGCCCATCGAGGAGGGCGATGGTTAAGCATACGTGACACATATCCTAACCATCTCAATCGGTGTAACTTCACAGCCTCGTCTGTTGATTTCCCCTCCTTACCTAGAACTCGATGGCCTAACCGCAATTTTGCTTACCCGATTATACCAGTTAGCATGGGAGATAGAACTCAGGCACCTATGATCAAAGACAGCTAGCCTTTTCACGTCTTCCACTCTCAATGGACATGTCTCACTTACAGTGATAAAGAAGGACAGAGAGGACTGCTGACCAGTACACAAGCCCTTTGGCCGATATCCCATCTACGCCAGAGATGGCGTAAACTGGTAAATGCGAAATGAGCCTTCTGTATCGTTGCTGAGATTTCGTCACCGATCAACCCGTTGAGGTTGATGCAACTAACTAACTAACTGTCTAACTACTATTATGGATGCATATAACTGTAGAATCTGATAAAGAGAAGGTTACAGTAAAGAATATTCTTTGTTTACTCAATAATTAGTAGTTTCCAATTTTGTAATCATTATAAATTAGTTATTAAAAAAGTTGACTACTCATAGTAGTTTGTCTTATGTTACAGAAACTTAATTCATTCTCTCTGCTTTACGGTAAGACATATTTGTATTTCTGACTGTCTTGACTCAAAACTTTCCTTCTTAAAAGCCAATCTCTCAGAAAAGGGTTATCCGAACCTATTTATTGACAAAAAAACAATAAAGATAAGTAACATGAATGACTAGAAACTGAGCGTTGTTCAAGTCAGTAACAGTGGTAGTGGGGTGTAGAGATTGAATCGGGTGGGGGTAGAGAACAAGAAAGTTGAAAATGTAAAATGTTACAATTGAGAAGACAAAATAATACTAATGAAAAGACAGAAGAAAAGATTAGGTAGAATTTACATGTCGGCTAATAAGATAGATTACGTCCATTGCAAGTGTAGTGATTGAACGAACTTCTTCTGTATGCAGAGTTCAGGACTTAGCAAGTGAATCGCCATTGCTTCTGCAGTTTGAAGAAGTCTGATTCGTACACCTTTAGTAAGAAGTAGTCTCCCTAAAGGTGTACGAATCAGACTTCTTCAAACTGCAGAAGCAATGGCGATTCACTTGCTAAGTCCTGAACTCTGCATACAGAAGAAGTTCGTTCAATCACTACACTTGCAATGGACGTAATCTATCTTATTAGCCGACATGTAAATTCTACCTAATCTTTTCTTCTGTCTTTTCATTAGTATTATTTTGTCTTCTCAATTGTAACATTTTACATTTTCAACTTTCTTGTTCTCTACCCCCACCCGATTCAATCTCTACACCCCACTACCACTGTTACTGACTTGAACAACGCTCAGTTTCTAGTCATTCATGTTACGTCATCCAACTTATTTACTCAATTTCACTTCTACTTAATCTCTACCTGTAATTACCTCTGTTGCTATCCTGACCTAAGTAGTAACATTTTAGCCAATTATATTACGTCATCTAGTTTTTTAACTCAGTCTTACTTTAGTTGCTGTCTGATTAACTTTGTCTCTATACTACATCACTCTTGTATTAAATAATCAATTATCTAAACTTGACAAACCTCATGTACACACACACACAAATATTTATATATAAATGCGATTGTACAGCTATGTGAATGAATTCGCCGAAAAGAGTCTCTTCGCTGAATGCCTTCTCTTTTTCATATGACTCAATGGGGATTTTCAATCTTCTCAAAGATAAGTAACCCAAACCGCTCACTAACTCAGTTCCGAAAAATGCAGACCGTCTTAATGAATTTGGAATTCAAAGTTGATTAGGCTTCAGATACACTCAAAAATAGTCTATCTAAATCACTCAGTGAGACGTTCATTGCTACAAAAATATAAATGACCTTCACTAGTCTCAAGTTGTTCTCCACCACCTCCATGTGTATCTATCAGTTTACGTGCTCTTGTGGAACAGGATACATTGGCTGTAGCGAGAGAATGCTTTTCACATGGATGCTAGAACATAATCCAGAATGTTTTCAAAATGGAGAAAGGAAAATTACCAGAAGCTGTATTCCACAACACTTAATCATGATTCAAGACCATTTACCAAATTCATATAAGCTTGGTGCGTTTTCTTCGTTCTAAACTTTTAAAGACAGCGGAGGCCTTGGGCATTCATGAATTCAAACCAAACTTTTGAGTACAAAAGAAGTGTGTACAGACCCTATTTCTACCTTGACGTAGAGGGATAAACATTTTTTATTTAGTTGAACTATGTGCCTTTCCCTCACTACTACGCTTATTATTATTGTTTTTACTTTTATTATTTTCACTTTGAACTGTTTCCAGTATTATTTCACTTGTTTAAATCACAAATATTTGGCAATGTTAAATTCTCCTTTGTCAAATTCCACATAATGTTATGTAACGTTTTGTTTGCTTACTAATCCTATAATCTTACACCCCTTTCCAAAATCCTCACTCCCAACCTGTTAGTGAACCCCGCTGGTTACGATTTTTATTAGAACTACACACAACTTCGCCCAGTAGCCAATCACTCGTGAGCATCAGAATAATTTTCAAGATCCAGCGCCATTGGTTGTTGGTTATGTTTAAATCGCTAATTAGCAAAAGTTGGAATTCATGATCTGACCATTGGACCATTGGGTCCCACTGGCTGAACGGTCTACAAGCTCGCCTTGTAACCGAAGGCCCTGAATTCAAAACCCAATGGGTGCTTACTATTGAAGAGTCCCGAAATAGGACACCACAATGGTTCTCTAACTAGTTTTAACTCATGACCGAACTTGCATCCAATCAAATCCCTGCAAACCTGATAATTAGTCTGATCACGCTAGTGACCGGCTTTCCACAGAAAGTTGCATGGGGTTCTAGTAAGCAGTCGTAATCAGCGGGGTCTACCAAGTTAGTTAGAAGAATAGACACCCACATACGACATTGGCAGACGCCTACGCTATATATATAAATCCTTTATGTTCCCAGTGAAACACAGGGCTTCAAGCTAGAGCTTCGAAGTTTCAGTAAGAGTGGGATTTATTTTTACGGAATGGGGTTGCTAGCCTCACGCCCAACCTTCCTTCTTTACCTGTCTTATTACTGGCTTAGCAAGGTAAAAGAGTGCATCGGCCGGAGGCAGAACCTCCAACCACCTGTGTGGTTGGCGAGAATTCTACGTCTGTGCCACCAACGTACATATACATTTATATATCGAATTGGTAGAAGTTGGAATTCATGGGCTATTCGGATCGGTTCCTAGTGACTGAATACTCTATACATCACATTATTTGTTTTGTCACTTGATATTTAACTATGATTATAATCACAAACACACTGATTGCATTTCATACTATCTTTGTTCAAATTTCCTCACGAGATACAGGATATCTTAAAATATTATGTATATACACATACAAATATATACATATACCAATATAAAACTTGATAATAAGTCCGTTGGCAATAGTCTCTTCGATGAATACTGTTTTTATATTACAGAAAAAAAAGACAAAACAAGACGAGCAAAACAGTTATGAAACATACGAGATAAGAAACTTAATGTTAAAACAATAGTGAAGGGGAGAGAAAAATTAGTTAAATTCACAGAAATACACAAAAATAGAAAGATGAAGAAAGAAACAGCAATAATAATAATAATGATAATGAAGTAATTATATACATATTTTTGCTGTCTTCATTACATCATTTCATCATCATGTTCATGGCCGTATTTTGTGTCATCCACATTCTACTGAAATGGTAAACATCTGGGATTGAAACTGTTGCTACCACTATTATTATTATTGTTATTATTATTACTATTATTATTACTATTAGTAGTATTAAGACGATTATTGCTGTTATTGTTGTTATTATTATTACTGTTCAGTGCATTTGTCATCATTGCATTCCAATTCGGATTAGCTGCTCTCAATGCATTTGTAATTGCATTCAATGAATTGCGCTGCTTTATTTAATTTTGTAGGTGGGGTGAACATCGTGGAAAGGAAAGAGGAGGAAGGCGAAACAAAATACAAACAAATTAGAGATAGTCTTGCTTCAAGAAATTTATGATAAACATGAATTAAAATTTGAAGTAATCTGGTGAATGGTGACTACTAGTGGGATCTAGGAGGCGCATTTCGTCCTACTTGGGACTCGTCACTCCATTTATTAATCAACGGGAGAATCAAAATAAAATTTAGCTTAAATAATAGCTGAGACCCGTTCCACAAGAAGTGGCTCTCATGGCCCAAGTGTTCTAGTGGATAACGTTTCAGCGCTTGAAACGATGGGTACAGGGTTGTAGCATTAGTGAGAACACCATCACTCGTTGACAAGCCCCAAAATAGGTCAAAGTGCACACTCCGGACTCCACCGCTAGTCGCTGTCCATCAAATCGACGAGAATTGTTCACAATGGTACACATATATTCAATCTGTGTTCGTTTTGAAGTTATGTACTAATTAACATCAATATAACAGTGAATTATTCTTATCTAGATGGGTTTCTAGTAATGTTGCCTACATTTTTCTTTCTTTCGAAATTATGCTACTAAAAAGGATATTAGTAGTTGGACATCACTTGTGTCAAATTACTTTTTAAGAGCCGTTCAAATTAAAGTGAATCTCTTCTTTAATGATGTGAAGTTCATCAATAATGTGTACCTTTGGAATTAATTCAGAAATCAGAACGTCCCAACCCATTCCCACCACTGAAATGTTATGACTGTGATAATACTGGCGTGTAGGATTCGTTCTTACTGTTACTAACATCACGATATACGACTGGTCATTAAGCAAAGTGCCATATCACTAAAAATTGCAGCTATTTATTCTGTTCTTCTATATAACCAGTAAGTTATAAGTCACACATGTAAAAAGGACCGTTCTGAATGGCTTATTTCCCATTCCTTTTCGTTCCGTGTGGAATAGAAGCTCAATCTGAGCTTTGAAGTTTCAATAGCAATGATGTTTGCTACGAGGTGGCGTTGTTAGCCTTATGTCAAAATTACCATCCTTGCCAGGCTTCCACTACCAACTAAGACAGATCTAGGAATGAGTTGGCCGGAATCGAACCCTCCAAGTTACAAGGTGAACATAATTGGGAGTGAATCTAATGGCCAATCCAACAATTCGAACTGCTAATTTACGATTTATACCATGAAGACCGGTTAATGACATCGGTGGAGTATTTGTCCTCACAGTGGACTCCAGGCGGTCACAACTTCCACCACTAGAACTACAGGCAACTTCATTCTGTAGTCAGTCACTAGATTCATTTTAAAGGGTTAGTCTGCACGCAGAAAAGTGAATGTATAGAGGTAAGTTGGAGGCTTGATGAAAACTGAGGCTGTTGATTGTTTGGACCAAGTTACCTGGAACAAACTCAATATGCACCAGAATATGAGTCAGATATGCTGTGCGCAGATTGATGAAAATATCTCGTTGTCTGAACTGAAGTAAGTGGGGCAGAGGACTCAAACCGACGGCCCCAAATTGGTACTCAGTTGAATGGGTAAGCCGATGAGCCACACATCTACACATTCAGACGTATCTGTAACTTTTAAGGAACTAAAGCCCCTTCAGACACTCGAACTAACAGCATCCTAGTGCTATAGCCAGATATATTACCAAAAGATTATCCGCTCTCAATCGATTCAACACTACAAAATATAACCGTGAATTTTCAAGACATCTTACTGTTGTTGTTTTTTTAGAATTCAGCTAATCTAGAGCATTATTTTGCACGCGTCAGGCTACGAGCCACACTTATTGTGCGAGATCTGATGATAGATACCATCTAGTTGATCATACTAAAATAGGTGGAACGGGAATTGAATTCGAAACCCCCTTGCTGAATGTCGACTACTCTAGACAAATACTACACATTACTACTACGACAGGTGCCGACAATCTCTTGGTTGAGATCTTTCACAAACAGAAGTGAATGATAGAATAATAATAATAATAACACAGTGACTTTGTACATCTGATGAATGGTAGACTAACTGACTCAAATTTTCGCATAAAACTATATACTACTCATACACTGAAATGAGTAGTTGCTAGCATTCATTCATATCAACCAGCAGTGCTTGCTAACTACTAGATTGAAGTAAAACAGCCGCCTTGTGTTAAGATCACCTCGATCTCTCTAGCAAGCACTGCTGTTGAATAAGTGGTATATAACTACTACTCATCTCAGAAATTCAGTAGTTTGTAGTTTTATGCCAATTCGCTTGCTTTCTTGATTACCATTTACGGTATCAAGCAGAACAAAAGGAAACTACGGTGAAATTTCACCACTTGAACTGTGTCCATTACAAATAGGTTGACAATTTGACTTATAAAACTTTTAAGCTTTTTTCTTTAATAATACTGTTTAAGTGATTTCAGTTCGAGTTCTAGTGACCAGCACGGTCCATTCATTTGGATGTGAGGACAGATACTAGCCGGCGGTGATGGCTAGAGGTCGTACCACATATTGCGAATTATTGAGAGAAGTTACAATTGATGGACCATTGGGTTCCATCCAAGTAACTGTGAATGGTCAACAAACACACCTTGTACTCTGAAGGTCCTGGGAACGATCTCTGGTGGGGTCATGGTTACGTACCGCTAAATAGTCCCAAATTAGGATGAAACGCCTGTCTAGCACTCCCTAGTTTCCAATGGTTATTCCTGCTAACTGAAGTCGGTTTATGATGAAACTTGAAATCAATCAAATCCCTGCAAAACAACAGTTAAAAATCAATTTTTATCAGTATACTGCTGCTATAATTATTATTATATTTTCAAGCGTTAGTTAGTAGGGATTTGAGCAGTTTCATGTTTGACCATGGATTTAATATCGATTAAAGAAGCACTGAAATCTACTATGGGGGGTTAATGGACAGTTGTTTCTTCCTAGCTTGGAACTCTTCATCAGTGCGTACCCATTCCCCTCCACCCCATCGCCGGAAGTCGAACCCAGAACCTTCAAGTTACGAGAAGTACCCACTGCACATTCAGTCACTAAGATGGTCGATGGGTTTCAATTTTTGCTAATTTGAGATGTATATGCGTCACCATTGACCAATCATTGTCGCCAGCACGTATTTGCCCCTAATTTTAATAATGACAAGAAATATCTGTACAGAACCTATCACCATCCATTCAGTCAAGTGTCAGGAGGTTGGGTCAATTACTCAACAACCACCTGCAGCATATCCATGCATTCGGCAATGGGCTACAACAAAGTGTGAGGGTTAATGAAACTACACGGCTACCCAAACTTTGGTAGTTGGAGCGATGTGTTGAGCCCACACACAATCCTGCAGTTGGCAGTCAAACGTCTAGACCAATGAACCACAGCTTCACACACATTGGATCAGTAAATTAATCAACAAAAAATCAAAAGCACGTCACATATTTCACCTACCTGTAACTGACTATTAGTCAAAGACTGTTGTTGAATTGCTCCGGGTAGATTTGTCCCGCTACTACCACCACCACCGGTGGATTTCGACTGTACCGCTTGCATAGCTGCAGAAACAACAGCGGCTAAAGCAGCCACCGCAGAAGCACCATTAAAATTTTGATTATGTGTCGATGACAACTGACCACCTGGAAGTGAATTGGCTAAAAATGTCGATGGTGGTATTGGCATATTTGGTCTGCCTAACGGTTGAGACGATGGTTGCATTGTTGGCGGAGGACAATTAGGGAATGGTTGAAGATGTGGGAAATTACCAGGGCGAATAGTATTACCACTATTATTATTATTACTACTATCTACTACTAATATTACTATTACTTCCAATAACAGAAGGATTATTTATTCCAGCAGGTCGAGTCATTAGGCCAGCAGCACTAGGAATAGGAGGTCTTGTCGAGTGGAGTATTGATGAAGAGACGGCAGCAGGCATTGTAGTTTGTGTAGGCAACGGTAAAAGTCCACTACTTTTTTGATTATTGATAAAAATATTCGGTGGAGTTGTTGTACAGTTCGGTGGAATCATTGTATTCATCATAACCATTCTTGGTGATGGGCCTAACAAAGACATCTGAGCATTGGAAACTGTTATCTTATCTAGCATAGGTATAGTTGTAGTTACTGTATTACTGTTGGTTGGTGTTGGTGTTGTTGTCGCTGTTGCTTTCACACCACCAGAGAGTAGAGATGTTCCATCTGTGAAATTCATATGTTGACTAGCAACAGAAATGATAGTCTCCGAAAGATTAACAATATCATTTCTAGACATTGATGCGTTATTATTGCTATTATTACTATTATTATTATTATCATTACTATTGTTGTTAGCTGTTGTAGTGACTGTAGTGACACCTCCACTGTTTCCACTGGTTGATCCAGTTCGATGACGATGATCAATATGCGCTTGAAGATCACGTTGACTAAGATAAGTACGCCGACAAGTATCACTTTCAAAACACATGAATATCCCACCGACTAAACAACGTTCAACAGTCTGTACAGATTTTTGGCATCTAATAGAAAAATAATATAATAATAATAATAAGACATTTTCAGATATTATAATGAAAAGAAAAATATGAACAATACGAAACGAAAACGCTTTCAACCCTCTGAAACTCTAAGTATCCAATGAATGCCATTCACTGGTTTAAGCACTCAGCTATGATCTAATGGATGGGCCCCGGATTCGAATCCCTGACCGACTGAGTTTCAAAGTAGAACTTTGCACAAAAGTGTAGTTATTCATGCTACTCCATACACTCCATATACCTCAGAAAGGTAAGGAAGAAATTCACAAGATTAACAGTGAGCAGAAATTCACAGAAGAACGAAAAGTAATGGATCTGGGAGGTTACCAAGAGTGAACGCATCTACGCCATCGAGAACAATTCTAAGCCTTATCACCAAGAGTTTACAGTCATTGATTCTTAGCGTCCAGAAGACCCCAACCAGGTTGTCTACACCTCCCTACACGATTGACTTAAGCCAACACTCAAAGACTTCATGGACTGATGAAAGATTTCGATTTGATCACCACCCCTTCTCTAACACTTTTCTAACTTAATCCTATGTCAGCTAACATTGTTTGACGAGGAAAGCGATGGTTCAGCATGCCTAACACACATATCCTAGCCATTTCAATTGATGTAGCTTTACAACTGCATCAGTTAACTTGTCCTCCCCACCAAACAAACACTTTACGTCTAACCTTAATATTACCCATCACAATACACCATTTAACACAGAAGATAAGGCGTAATCATCTGTGGTTAAAGACAGTTAGGCTATTCAGGTCTTCCTGTGTCATATTTCACAGGAATAAAGGACAGAGCGCACCAGTGAGTACTACACACATGACCTTTCATCGAAGGCCGAATATTACATTCGAATCCCACTCTATCCATCTAGGTGAATGAGTAGTACCGTTAGTCACCACACACACACACACATGCACATACAAATAAGCGGCTATGGGAAATTATTTTTCCAAAAAGTATCAGTTAATACATTCCGGAGCCAAAATCATGCATAATTTCTCGTCTATCGATCAATAAATAAAACTAAATATAGCATCGCCAAAATGTATCTTGGTTTAGCGAACTTTATATGACAATGAACCAGAAAGTATTGAACAGCTGTTTCATCCTAGATCAAGACTCTTCAGCAGCACATGCCAACAGCCCCATCTGGAGTTCTAGTGAGAGGTATTGACCAGCAACCCCTAACAAGTAGGGTGTTGTGACAACAAATACTCGATGATATTGGCTGACGGTTGCACAGTGGATTCCATCCGAGTGTCTTACTGTTCAACGGGATCATCTTGTAGCGTCTTCACGTACTGTGTACGACCCCTGGAGGAGGGATCACTGAGACCAACTGATGAAGAGTTACAAGCTGTGACGAAACAACTATCCGGTACTTCTTTGATGGATTTCAATGATTCTCTTGAAATCAAACAAATCTGCCTGCATATTGGTACTTGAAAATGAGACGAAATCAAAATACACACAAAACGAAAAAAACAAAAGCGACACAGAATAGAACACTTATAGGCATGTCATGCAACAGAAAAAGTATTCATTGCCTACCTTTTACATTTATTCATTATATTCATTGCACATGTATAACATAAAACGTGTTTACATGGAAGCTAAATAAAATAAAATAAAAGGGAAATGATTCGAGGTATATTCATTCATGTTCCAACTAAGTTCATATATGTATAATAGTTTCAAACCAGAAAAAAAAAACAATTTGGAGATGAGGTATACGAGATATTCAAGTTGTTGATCACAGATTGATATCAGTTAGAGAGCCATTGAAAATCAGCAGGGAGTACTACCAGACATCTGTTTCATCCTACACTAGGACTCTTCATCAGTGAGGTCCACCGGGTGGAATGTGAGGACAACTACCCCCCCCCCAATGACATTGGCTGCCGGCCGTGTTAGAATTCACGGATCGATCATTGAATTCTGGCTCAGGTGACTGAATAGCCAACTAGCTTGGTCTTGCAATTTGAAGCTTACGGCTTCGATCCCTGGTCCGGTGGCATGGTGTGGCTGCGTACTGCTACAAACTCCTAAACTAGAATGAAACAGTTGTCCAGTCGTACTCACAGGTGGTTTTCAATGGTTCTCTAATTGATTATCAACCCATGACTAATCTTGAAACAAACAAATCCCTACAAACAAAGACTTGCAAACACATGACAATTATTATCATAAAATATTTTTGTATTTCCCAATATATGGAAAAAACGATATTATTATTACTACTGACGTCTCATTACTTAAAACACTGCTAATAGCTTCTTCACAGTAGTAATATCAAACCAGAATTTTAAAAATCTCAGATTATACACAGCATGAGCAAAGAAAGAACACACATTGGCGCAGAATAACATGGATACATTTTATTTTGTTGGTTCCCCCATCAGCTGCATACAACCTATAATCTTTAATAAATAAAAGTCAGAGTAAAATTTAACGTACTTTTGTCTATCAATAGGCATATTATAAGAGTGTCATGGTGAGGTAAAACATCAGGACGAAGTATATATAAATATACTGTTAGACAGAAGTTTCTAGAAAATTAGTTGACAAGTTTGTCGTTAGGGTGGTAAAAAAAATTAGTAACAATTACCTGGTTAGATAAGAGAAGATTAAAATTTAGTATGCAAGAGGTCAGGTGAAAAGGTTGATAATGTAATATGGTGAGTAGAACTCATAAGATCAAGGAAAATTATCTCTTATGGAAGTCAAACAAAAGAAACGAGGCGAGGGGGGAGGGCGTTGAAAAGATAAGTTAATGAAGTTAGAAGACCAAGAGTTATTAAGAGATGAGTCACCAGGGTAACTGGAGTCCAACGACAGATTCCTTTTGGACACATAGGTCAGGTTTCAGCCGTTTTATTGCGATAGTCTCAGCAAACCAAAGAAGACTTGAGCTATTTTGTCTGTTAATTATTTTGAATGATGCCAGAGCGTCTACTCGGTGTCCATTGTCTATCACGTGTTTGGTAATTGAAGAGCTTAAACTACTTGGCTCCTTTAACTGGAAGCTCCTTGGTACATGTTCGAAGAATCTGACGTAGGCCCTTCTTTCTGTTCTTCCAATGTAACTACTCCCGCAGATACATACGAATTAGTATATGAAGTTGGAGGTAACGTATAAGGGGTACTTGTCGATCTTTGACTGCACCGACGAGGAAGATGTTCGGAGCAGAGAGACTGGTTTCGCTGCAGGATACGTCCTGGAAAGAGGGCTGATCTTCTCTTTTCTATGTAATTGTTACTAACAACAAACTTGTCAGTTAATTTTCTAGAAACTTCTCTCTGACAAGATATATATGTATATATACTTACACTTCGGTTACCTTGTCGTCTTCATGTTTTACCCCACCACGACACTCTATTATACATAGTAATTTAACTACAGTTCTTCAGCATGAGGTAATTTTTACGTTGTGCAGTGGGTGAATTGGTAAAGATAACAAACCATGTGCAGATTGCTGGATTTGATAAATGAATGTAAGAAATTATAAAAACATCATGTATTTACATAATGAAACTGCTTATCATATTCGTGTTGATTCTGCCACTCCATGCTTTGCGGCAGGGGAGAGGATGATAGGACCAGTTGAAATTCTGTCTGAATCCATCATTTCTATTCACCAGACAATTTGGATTCCTGGCATTAGTTGGTTGGAAGCGATCGGCAGGAAGCATTGCTTGAGCTAGGTTTTGTGCTAGTTGGCACTCTCACTAGTCACCATGGTGTATCTGCAGTCTTCAAGGAACAACTCATGTCCCTTCTGAGACTTGAACCTGCGTGTGTACACTGTAGTACCCAGTGAGTACTACAGTCAGAGACGTTACCACTGAGCCAGCTATTCGGGCTCGTTATTGACCTCCCATAGGACTGTATCGAATGCTTTTGATTGGACACTAGTCAATAACTAGTGTAATGTGTCTAGTCTTATCTTTGGTGCAGACTGAATTCTATCAGACTGAATAGCTCAGTGTGGTAACGTCTCCGACTGCAGAACTAGATGACGCGGGCTAGGACCTCAGAAGAGACATGAGGAGGTTTCAGATACTCTTTGCTGACTGGTGAGAGCCCAGAAGCACGAAACCTAGGTCGAGCGGGGCTTCCAGACGATTGCTCCCAACCATCTAATACCAACAACTCACAGTGCACCACCTAGAATGGTGGCCACATTGCAAACTTGACTGATAGAATTCAGTCTGAGCCAAAGATAGGACTAGACATACTGCACTAGTTACTGACTAGTGTTCAACCAAAAATAATATAGATTCCATTTAATATGAAGTGCTTCCGATACAAGATGACGTTCTTTGTGATGATTCTTTCAATATTATCAAAATCACTTATGTGGGCTAATTTTATAGAGGAGTTAAGACCACCTATGGTTAACGATCTCTCAAGCTTTCCTAGTCCCATTGGATTTCTCGGTAGTTGAAAAGGGGCTTCATAGTGTTCATTTCTTCTGACCCATGACTTCTTACAAGGTATGTCCTATTTAATGTTGCCTTCAAGTGTTGGCTTGCAGGGATTTGATTGATTTCAATTTTTGTCACGAACTGGCCTCAGTCAGAAAACCAATAACCAATGAGTACTGAAAATCTGTTTCGACCTGGCTTTGGACTCTTCAGTAGCACGCATCTATGACCCCACCAGAGATAGAACCCACGACCTACAGATTACAATGCGAACTCGAACACTATTCATAGTCACTGGGGGTATAATCCAGTGGCCGTTCCATCAATTCTAACTTCTTTTAATTCGAGATCTGTGGCGCAAACACCAACCAATGGTGACCAGTGAGTACCTGTCCTCACACCCAATCTGGTGAACCCCAAATATCACAACTTCCCACTAGGACTTTTGATAACTTCATTCTGTAGTGAGTCACCAGTGAGCACTATATTGATTTTTAAGTATTGGCTTGCAGGGATTTTTTTTCATTCATTAGGAAGCACAAAAACTTTTATAATAATCGAGACGATTACAAGTTGAAGGGGAAAAAAGTACACAAAACCAACTACCTACAAGTCGTCCATAGATGACAATCGGTAAATCGCATATATCACAGAAATGGAATACTGTATCCTTGGCTTTTTCACCAACTAACCAGACCTAGAAGAGATGGAAAACAGGTTTTGAAGGAAACAAATTACCTGAATTTAACTTTATGATAAGAATAAAAATGAAGGGTATTAATCCGATCATATATATATATATATATATATATATATAAGAGACGCTCTCGTGACCTAGTTAATAACATTTTGCAGTTTTATATCATGGGGACGGGGTTCCATTCTCAGTGGGGACATTACCACTCATTGTGGAGGGATTCCTTCGATTTATGTAGAGGTCACTAACAGGACTCTTTAAAACCTTCCGAAATTCATGCGCTACGAGTTTTGCATTCTGCTGATCTATATCCTTCCCTGAGGCAAGAGAAACAAAGTACTAATTCTTTATCCTTCGACCATCTTTCCTTCATTCACTGGAAAGCGCCAAGAATAGCAGGCATCCAGTGGTTGGTTATGTAGTTTCCCCAAACACAGCACAAGGCATCTTATCTATTTTAGAATATACATCGACTACAGCAGGCACCGACTGCTGTGTTTTTTATAAATCTGCTAAATAATATGCTTGTGCCAGCAGCCACAATTCACAAAATGTAGGCCGCCGAATGTTTTTTGTTAAGTCCTCTATTGTTTTTGTCCATTTCATTTGCAATATATGGTAGGCAGTTTCCTCACTATGCATTTCAAAGTATCCAGTTCTAGGCATGTGAAACGATTTTCTATTCTGATACCAAGTCCCGACACACTCTGAGTATTTTTTATGTTTGACTACTCCAACAAATCGTGTAATCAGACCGTGCTTACTTTATGTGTTCTTCTAGTTATTAACACCATATATCACTGTGTTATATCAGACAAACATCTAATATGAGATTATATCCTACCACAGTGCCCAAATTCTACTCTTGCGATAGCTGCAACAATAAGGTGGTGGTCATAAATACATTTCGCACAGATCCAACCTGCTACACCAGCTGAAACTAATGTTTCTGCGTGGCCTGCCATTCCTGAAACGTTGACTGGATAGTGATTAGACTAAAGGAATTTACCACCGTGGTAGAAGTAACTTACAATATGGTGTGGGGCTAAAGGGGGAACCGTATTGCTGGCGAATAGTGCTGTAAACGCAGTATATATATATATATATATATATATATATATACCAATTTAGTGGGAGAAGACATTAATGACATTGTTCAAATTCTCACTTCTATCAGCAAACATAAAGAAGATTTGTAGCTCAGGCGAGTGATTTTAACTTAATTGTTTACTCTGAGCTGGCTGATTTAATTGCGAAACTGTTGTTTTGCTTCTAGACAATATCTTCAGCGCAGGTTTCAGTGTGAAATGAACTTATCTGAATCCCATAAGAATGATATAATTGTAATTCCTGAAAACCACTGGCGTGATTGGTTGTTAATCAGTGATTAACAGATATACTACTATAGACCAAATTTACCAACTATTAAAAAATATTAAAATAATAAGGCTGCCTATTATCACGCACGATGATATTCTTAATTGTGGTGGACTGGATTATGAGTCAGACTGTGGAGAGTGAGGAGACAGGAATACGCCAGACCACCGATAAGAAGATTCTAGAAGATCTGGATTTCACAGATGATACATGTCTAATGTCGCACAAAATTGAAGACTAGCTAGAGAAAACCAACAAACTGGCAGAGTAGGCAGGCTGGGGCAGCCAAGACACGACTGCAGGTGAACAAAGAGAAAACGGAGTTGATGAAGATAACCAACCAATTAACCACAACAACAACCAGAATCAATCACCATCAAAGGGAGGGATTTAACAGAGGTAACTTCCTTCATTTATCTAGGAAGCATAGTTTCAACGACAGGCGACAGCACGGATGAAGATGTCAAAGCCAGTCAGAATCGGAAATGCAAGATACTCCTTCACCAACCTGAAACCAGTTTGGAAATCTTCTGTTTTCACCTACTCAGCATACACAAGATTCGTATTTTAAACACAAATGTGAAGTCAGTCAGTTCTTCTATACTTGTCAAAAACTTGCACTGCGTATCGCGACAAGGATTTCCAACAGACTACTGCAAACTTTTATCAACAGCTGGCCGCCTCGCTGGCTCTATACTGAAGATCAAATGACCAGAAAGAGATAATTAGCAACAACAAACTCTGCAATGGAACAAATCAACCAAGAGCCAACTGCTCAACAAATATGTAGGAGAAAATGGAGATGGATCGGGCATATATTGAGGAAACTGTCGAATGACATCGCGCGCAACGCAGGACATCACTCGAGCGAAATTCAAATGGGAAGTGACGAGTTGGTCGTCAGTGTGAGGGTGATATGAAGAAGATCGTGTGAGCTGGAGGAGATGAGAGATTATGGCCAATCGTGGACCCATCTGAAGAGGACAGCGGAAAACAGAACAAAGTGGAGGTATGTTGTTGAAGCCCTATATTCCGCTCGGAACCCAAGGGAATAATAAATAATAACATAATAATAAATAAATCACATGATAAGAAAGTTCAAATACCACGTCATTTTAAAAATGATCAATAAAGACGTAAATTAACAACTAATCACAGCAGTGGTTGTCAGGAGATGCAATTATACCATTCATGTGGAATTTCAATAAGTTTATTTCATAATAAAGCCTGCGCTGAAGTTTCCCAGATAGATGAAAGCTTTGTAATTAAATCAATCAGAGCAGAGAACACAACAAAATCAAAATGAGAAAACATTTTAATATCACTAACAGCATTTTGTGTGGTGCATCCCTTGGTGCCCACAATGTGCCAAGTTTTTGTTCTAATAATAACACAAATTAGTTTTACAAACATAAAAAACAAGTTAATACAAAATAAATATTACAATCGTCACTTACATTATTTGTCCAGTGTGCACGCTTTGAACGATCTCTTGGATCTCTACCACCTTTACTACTTGGCGAAACAGTTCTTGAAGCGGGCGTATGTGATCGAGATCGTGAAGGTGCATCAGAATGATATGAACAACTTCTTGTTCTACTTCTGAAAAATGATTTTCTTCGACCACCACGATAACTAGACCTTGATCTTGAACGACTACCTGATCTTGAACGTGAAGAATATGCCGATCTATCGCATGTACGTGAACGTGATCTAGTCCAAGATCTGGAATGCCGATGATCAGAATGTGACCGAGAACGAGAATAGTGAGAACGACTTCTTGATCTTCCACTTCGATGAGAATGAGAACTGTGTCTTGAAAATGATCTGCTTGCTGACCGACTATGATTAGAATGTGTATAACTTCGTTCAATACTACCACTTCTAGATTGACTGCGACTTCTACTACGACTGTGAACTGTACCTCTGCTCACAGATCTTTGAGAACCAGGTGAACAAACCATTACAACACTTCAATAATGTTTGTTAAACCTAAAGGACAATAATAAAATAAATTGCAGTAAATAATAGTCTGATTTAAACTACTGAGATTAGACGTAGTGTTAGGTAAAGAAAAAAATCACTCAGTCAGGAGCTGCATCGATTGAGATTGCTGGGACCCGCGTTACACATACCAGATTATCACAGTCTTCGTCGAGCAATGTTAGCTGACATAGGGTTGAGTTGGAATAGTTAGGCGTGGTCAAGTAAAAAATATAAGGCCAATCCATGGATTATTTGATGTTTGTTTGAGCTACCTACATAGGGAAGTGCAGACTGCCTAGTTAACGTCTTCGAAACACTTAGAGACACCAATGGCTTATGACTGTTGGTGATATGGCTTAAAATCATTCTCAGTGGCACAGATGCATTCACTCTTTGTAATCTCCCAGGTCCATTACGTCCTCTTGATTCTCCATGTAATTATTCCTTCTCCTGTACATTTCTGTTTGTTATAGATCCTTTGAATGCTTCTTTTAGCTTTGCATACTGAACAGAGTGTAGCACATTGAGCAGCTGCACTTCTTTACAAAGTTTGACGTTGAAAGCTCAGTCAGTCGACATTATCTGAAGCGAAAATCTGTTATATGCATCAGGAATGTACGCTGTCGCTATTCTTATTTGGTTTCATTATAGATGTTTTGAAAGATGTGCCAATGCTCAAAGTCGACCTCATAGGGAAGTAGATTCTACCGTGGGAGAACCATGTTGGTATACTGTACATAGATGATAAACATATATGTCACTAAAGGAAGACGCTATGCAAATAGTCTTCTGGATACCTTTAGTGAAAATCGAGGAGTGTTTGGTATGCCATTCACCTCTGTCAAATATAAGGGCGAACTACACTAACTCTTAGTTTAAGGATAAGGATAAAAATGGTTAAATGTGTTGACTACTTCACCTATTTGGAAAGCTGAGTCAGTCTTAGTGGAGTGGTTACTGATGAAATCATAGTACGAATATAAAAGGCTCGTTAGTCACTCACCAGCTCTCATTAACTTTGGTGTAGGCATGATATCTTGCCACCCGTCGAAAGATGTGTGTACTGTATGGTAGATCACTGTGTCATTTAAGGTGGAAGAGATAAATGATTTCTAACCATAGTTGTCTAAGTCCGAATACTCAAATTAGATGCACCAACACATTATATGATAACGAAACTAGTCCTAGAGTGTTATATAAGGTTGTGAAGCTGCGTCGATTAGGATAGCTATAACACTCGTTATGGATGCCCAAAAAAGTTTTCCTAGGCAATTAACTCTACATGAAATACCGCTAGACTGGAATGGAGATAGGAATGGTCCGATTATAATATGAGACTGATTTATGAGGTCTTTTGCTGCTACATCATGTAGATTGCTTCATTGGGGTTGTTGGTGACATAAATCAGGATAATATCCCCCTCCTTGTCACCATTCTGATATTGAGAACTTTCACCAGTCTTTATGTTGCTATTTCCCCTTTAAATATTGTAGTCCCGTTGTATCTATTTTGTCTACTTTTATGTATGTAATTACGAATTGTAGTAACGCCCTTTTATGCAAACTTCTGTGTTGATAAGTCAGTCAGTACAACACCTTAACTAGATAAGATAGTGAGAGACATGTAGCCTGGTGTGAGACAGATTATAATTATGGAAACTGTTTGCATGTCGTAAAGATGTGTACAAATTTACTGAGTAATGTACTACAGTTTAAACAACTACCGAAGACTTCAAAAAACTCGTAGTTGATCAGTTCCGAAACGCCGGTGCAAAAGAGACATCCGAAAGATAATCACGAAGACAATAGTAGTCACCTTTAAAATGAGCAAATATTTTAGGAGAGGAGCCTGGAGTACTTCAAGGCGAAGAAGCTAAGCACAATAGTTTAAAAAACAAACTGAAGGACCCTATGATACATCAATACCTTAACCGTTTTTTTTAATTTGTCAAAGGCAATTATAAAAATGACTCGGTATTCCTACCATACTAATTACATCATTGGATGTATATTTTAAGTAATATCACCGTACAAAAATACCAGATGAGTTCTTAGCATAGCAACGATCTGTCGCACTTTAATGAGACAAAGCCCACAGTTAGCTAAAAGTATTTTTAGCACTTAACGCACCTCACTAAAGGTCTGATAATGATGTGTACGGATTATACATCATCGATACACATGTACTAGATTTACTAGACTGTTAAGTACTTATGCAACTTCTTAATGCATCGGTTAAATTTGTTATGTGTATAGAAGTGATAATTTGTACAATCAGACTGCTCAGATGTTATCGGAACCTGTTTTGTTACGTGACATTATGTGGTAAGAATCCCATGCTTGAGACCATTGGTAATATGCTTCAAGGTCTACCACAGCAATACATATACAAAAACTCCTTGCCGCCACAACTACGAATACCTTAAACGCTTATTTATATTTACGTCTGTCTACTCTACTGTCACATATGTCCCTATCCTTCAAAAAGACCATAGGATCTTACAGTATCATGTGGAAAGCTTAACGCCAGGACCAGAGGAAAAAACTTACTGTTAACTAAACAAATCGAATAATACAAAATTATTTCCTTCCCAAACGTATCGTCACAATAGAATCCCCCTCCGGCAACTATTCAATGTCTAATCTCAAGGACAGGCCATCATGATCCACGTGCTTTCACTGATAGTTAAAGACCCTGCCAGCATGTTAATGTTTCTCATCCGAATACTTCCGTTTATTTCTTTTCCTACTTCAGGAGATAGGATAAGATTCAAGCACTGTATTTTGTTTGTACACATAATTATATTCATTTTATTCCAAACAATAATAATTTTACAGAATGAAATTTCTAGAGCCTTTGAACATACTGTAACTTAGCTTCTTTTATAAATATGTACATGCATTTAATTTAAAACAGTACTAACAAAATTATTATTGAAACCACCGTTAACAGAAGGATGGTGGAAACATAATTAACTAGGTAGTATCATATTCCTGGTTTTCCTGTTTATAAGGTCGCTCCTCTGTAATTATATATAAATGTAACAATCACTTCTCAGTCGTGAGGCTAGCAACCCCACCCTGTAAACAAGGCTGCTGCAGAAACAGAAAAAGTCCGTGTGGGGACATGGAGCGTCCGCACCATGTATGAGACTGAAAAGACTGCCCAGATTGCAAACGAAATGGAAAGATGTGGTATTCAAGTACTGGGAATATGCCAAAGCAGATGAAAAGGGAATGGACTCGCCAAATTGTCATCGGGAGAGTCGATGATCTACTCCAGTCACCCAGAAGACAACCACGAGCACACAGAGGGTGTGGCTATCATGATTTCACCGATGGCAATGAAGGCCCTGATACAATGTGAAGTGACCTCGCCCAGGATAATGACCACCAGATTCAATTCCAAAGGAAGGAAAGTGTCAACTGTACAATGCTATGCACCCACAAACAACTCAAACCTTGAAAAGAAAGAAGAGTTCTACAGACAACTGCAGTCAACAATGAACAATACTCCAGTCGGTCATAATAAAATACTAATGGGGTGCATGAACGCTAGACCGGGACCAGATAACACAGCAAGAGAACTCATCATGGGTAGAGAAGCTCTCAGAGAAATGAATGAAAATGGGGAACTCTTCGCCGACTTCTGCTCCTTCAATGATGTGATTGGCGGCAGCGTATACAAACACAAGGATATTCACAAGGCTACGTGGGTGTCACCAGATGGACGAACCAAAAACCAAAATGACTTCATCTCAATGTTGCTCAAGGAAGTGGAGACGCAGCTTAATGGACACAAAAGTAAGCAGAGGAGCAGACGTCGGCTCAAACCAATATCTCGTACAAGGGACAATCCAAATCAAATTAAAAGCTATCAAAGAAACAGGGGCTGCAGACAGACCACACGCCAAGTTCAATACTCAAAAACGGAAGGATCAGTAGACGAAGGACATCACAGCAAACATAAGGAAAAAGGTGGAGACACAAATCAACACTGGCCAAGAGACCAGCGTTGTAAAACACTGGAACAGCCTGAATGCGGTGTGGAGTCAAACCTGCATGGAAGTTCCAGGCAGAATAAAGACACAGGACAAACAGTGGCTCACTACGGACACAGAGATTAATAGAAGAGAGGAGGACGGTGAAACGAAAGATTATCCAGTGCATCGACGAGCAACAAAAACAGGAGTTGAATGTAAAAGAGTAAAACAGAGTGCCAGAGAAGACAAAAGAAAGTATTATGAAGCCATGGGGAGTGAAGCAGAACAAGCAGCAGGCAAAGGACACCTCGCAACACTCTACCAAACAACCAGGTTCCCATCGGGGAAACGTTCGAAACAAATTAAGCCAGTAAAGGATGACAATGGAAAGTCAATCACCAAAGAGGCGGAGCAAAATAAATCACTGGGTTGAACAATTCAAGAGACTTCTAAATCCACCACCACCTACAACGCACCCAATAATACCAACAACGGAAGCAGAATTATCGGTGAACATCAATCCCTCGACGAGAACAGAAGTCCTGAAGGCAATAAAGATACTAAAACCTGGAAAAGCAGCAGGACCAAACAGAATTTCAGTGGATGCATTGAAAATGGAACCAGAGACATTAGCGGACTTGATGACACCACTACTGGAGAAGGTGTGGAAAGAGAGCAAAGTACCTGCGGATTGGAAGAAGGGCTACCTATTCAAATTGCCAAAGAAAGGTGACTTAAGTCAATGCAAGAACTGACGAGGAATTATGTTCCTGCCCATCCCAAATAAAATACCAAACCGCATCATCCTGGAGAGAATCAAACACGCTCTGGATGAAAAACTCCGACCGGAACAGGATGGATTCAGGACAAAAACAAGTCATGAATTGATCAAATCGCAACACTGCGGATCATCGTTGAACAGAGCTTGCAATGACAGTCAGCTCTCCTCCTCAAATTAAATGACTTTGAAAAGGCCTTTGACAGCATCGATCATGA